CTGAGAGAGAGAGAGAGAGAGGGGGCGTTAGCACGAGGCTTCGGACAAGAGTCACCTCACCGGAGCCACGACGCCCCGTCCTCCCCCAGAGGCTGGATAATCGGTCCTTAGAAGACCCCGCCCTGCCTGTGTCTGCAAAGGGAAGGGATCTCCTGACCATCTACTTCAAATGAGCACACCTAGACCCAATAACGGAGACGAGCTTTCTTAGCTCGTTCCTGTAAGGGTGTGTTTTCGCAAACAAAATCAAGTTTTCCCCAGGTATCTGGAGAAGCGGTTATCATTGGAAGCAAGACAGGTTCATGGAGGTGTGAGAATACCTGGGTAATGCGGTTGACAGGAATGGGGAAACGTCTTGATGTTTCCAGGCTAACCAGAGTCAAGACCAAAACCTTCCCCATAAGCTGAAACCCGCAGATGGCATGACATTCGGCATTTCCGCGATGGGAATGGTTTCAGGTTTAATTAATATTTTAGTGTAGCACAAACCAAAAGCAAAAACAATCTGGGAATATTTCAGCCGAGCTCTCTTGTGATAGGGGTTACTCTGTTACAAATACTGACTCAAACGTAAATGTTTATTTAAATTTTCCATAAATCTGCATGCATGGAATAAACTTACATTTTCTATAAACAAAAATGTTTCTCTTAATTATATGTTAGATACACTAAAAAGTTAAGTAACTTAATTTGAAGTTTAATCTAATTCAAAACAGACACGATGATGTGAAGCTTTTTATTTTTACCATTCACAGTGACCCGCAACAAATTTTTGCTAAAAAAAAAATCTGTTTTCGCAAGCTCTGCTGACTCTGATTTCTGCCCACAGCGTGTAACAGGATCCCCTTAAATTCTGATTTTTTCAATGGAAAAACTTTTACAACTCCCAAACATATTCTGTTACAGTAGTTTATTTTTTTAAAAAAAACTCCCCCCCCCCTTTTTTAATTGGGGTGGTTCAATTCCACACAAACAAGCAAACTCCCAAAATAAGAATAGCAACAAAGAGAAAAATATTAATAACTGATTCAATATAAACGACCTGAGTTTTAGCAATTCATTAAAGTATTTTTATGTACTTCTTTTAAAAAATACTTAAATGGGCACAGGTGGTATTTATTTGGCCTTAGATTAGTTGGATAAGGGTTTGGCGTTCTGAAATTCAAACAAAAAACAAAAAAAAACTTTATACACAGGATCAAACATGTTGATTTCTGCCTCCCCTCCCCCACCCCCTGCTTTTCCCCGCATCTGAAAGTGGTTAGTAAGGAAAGAATAACTAGCTGGTGAGCCTTTCCAAACACCAGAAGACAGGACCCATATATTATATTTGCTTAACGCTGGTGGACAGGAATTTTCTTTTCTTTTTTTTTTTAAATTGGGAGAAGCGACTGTTGTATTCGAAAGCGTCATCCCCTAGATTTCTGTAAAAGGTGCCCTTTCCGATCATTCCCATTCCCAGCAAAGCCAGCCTCAGAGCTACCTGCCTGAGGGCCCATCGCCTTTCCCTGGGCCCAGGCCCCGAGCGAGGCTGAGCACCTGAAACCAGCTTCTCCTTCCCTGGGCGGGGCCCTTAAAGAGACACCCACCCACACCGGCGTCTTCCGGGGACCATGCTGTGCCCTGAGATACACCAGCCCGGGTATTGTCCCCTGAGACCGTCCAGGAAGGGACCCTCTCTGGGGCTGGCGACCAGATTTGCCTGAAGCCACAGGCAGTCTGACTGTGTGTGCGTGTGCGTGTATGTGTTGTGTGTGTGTGTGTGTGTGTGTGGTGCACACACACTGTGGGCCCCTGCGGATGGCCTTTGCTTTTAGAAGACACCAGAATACTTCCGGGAGGGAAGGGAGGAGAAATTAAACTGTTTTTTTTCTCTCATGTAAATCGAGTCACCATTCACCCCCATTGGTATTCAACCAAGGTCATTCCTGAGACTTCAGTCGTCACTGTGTGCATGAATAAATTCTTCCCCACACAGTCCTCCTCCTCCCTTCCCTGCCTGCTGGGAGCCTATGCTCCTGGATCCCGGGGAATTGCAGATGGCGCCCCTGCAAGGAGCAGGGGCTGTTTCCCAAGGAATGTCTTTGGGCCGCACACCCGCACCGGCCCTGGCTCCGGGTCCCTGCGCTGTGCTGGGAGCAGCAGGCCACGGCCATTCAGGCTGCCCCGCCAACTGGGAGTTTTCACTGGACGCACATTCGCGTTTAAAGATAAAACAAAAAGCCATCACCACCATCACAAAACTTACTCTCTGGGCCAACCCATCTTCATCCAGTGTGGCACCGCCGAAAGCTAGCAGGCCATGCTCCCTGCCCCGGAGCAAGCCAAGCATCTCCAGCGTGCCCGCCCCAGTCCCGGGCTAACGGACATGCACAGAAACAAAAGCGGCCGCCGGCCCCCATTATCTGATCTTCCGCACAGCACAAAAAGCGGCCCTGGAAGTGCCAGGAAGCCTGCAGGTGTGAGCCTCTTAAAAGAAAAGGCCCGGCCTAAATAGATTCTTTGACTGTCAGGGATTAGTCTCATGGCACTGGCGGGGACACACATCGTTCCCTTTAACTTACAAAATTTTCTCACGCGCCTGCAAGGGCTCACCCCATCCGGGCTCGCAGGGGCCATTGAAATGTCTTAAGTTTTAATTAAGTTGGAGTTGTCAGAAGAAAGCTTTCCTGGCACGGAGTCAGGGTCATTAATTACTGCTATCTTTGTTTCTCTCTGTGCAGGGAACTCCGCTGACTTGTAGGATTACTTACCCGGGCCTGTTTGCCTGCGCCTGCAACTCCCATTCTCCTCCAAGCGGGGCTTATTAACCAGTTTACCAATTACTTCCATCAGTGTTAGGTGCAGAGCCTTCGCACAATCTTAAGTCTTAAAAAAACAACAACGTATTTCTCCGGAGTGGCTGAGGGAACAGGGTTGATACCAAATTCGGTGTAACTCTAAAGAATCCTCACGTTTTTCACATCGCCCTCTACTCAACACACCTATTCATTTTCTCAGGGCCTGTGACTTCGCCTGTTAGCCAGGGCTAATCAGTTTTAAAATTATTTACCTCACCCAGGAACATCGCCCTCACTGGAAACATCAGCTTCACCTAATAACTTCTCAAGCAGGCAAATACTTTTTGTTTCTAGGTCAGATCGCTGACACTATCACTGATAATAGATGTGTTATATATCTAATTATGTATGTAAAAGTTGGGGAAATCATATATATATTTTTTTTAAATCAGGGAGTTAAATTTTGATTTTGATGGGAGAGTACACTATTTGCAGATAATCTGCCTAAGGTATATATTTAGTATGTGTCCCTTAGGTTCCACATCCTATCTCATCCTCACAGCTTACAGAAAACAGCAAAATAAAACAGTGTACTTCAGATTCAGCAGCAAAAATGAAGTGAGATAACTGTCACAAAAATTAGGAAATATAATAAAAAGTAATCCTGAATCAAAACATATCTAGTTCTGTCTGCCGGGATGGCTAGATGTAGTCTTTGAACGTGATAACATGGACTTTTAATCGATGAATGAAATGGGTGAGAAAAGATTTACAAACCCAGGCAAATCCAATGACCAGAATCACTCATTTCTTTTCGATGAGCACAAAATACCACTTCAAAATATTTTTTTTCTAGTAATCTCAATACCATCCGCCATGAGTAGCAATAACAAACATGTGATCAGAAAACAGGCACCATCTCAGACATGGCGCCCTAGATGCCATCATTGGAAATCATCATTATAATATTAATGACTCATCATGACCTGGTGATTTTCCAATGAGAAACTTTTGAGCCCAGAATTTGGATTAGACTCCAGGGCTTCCATTCATTCTGATCTAAACATGGGTCAGTTACTTTGGGTGGGAGAGGGAAATTCCGAGTTTGACTGATGACTGATACGATCACCTCTCACAGATACAACCACGGTTTGTTGCCATTATACTCTTCTATTTACTAAACTTGAAATGCTGCACCTGACAAAAAAGGGTAGAGTTTTCCACCAGTTCTCAAAAAAATTTCTAAATGCTAGTTCTAATCCCCAGCAAACATATAAAAGTTGAAGTATACATGAAATAAATTAGATACCTAACCAAACATAGCTACTCGGTTCAATGGATAAAATCCAAGTTTCCTGAAAAAGTAGTGACTATCTTCACACGGACAGTTTCAAAGCCAGATGTTAAACTGAAGCTCGTCTTCCAGGATTAAACAATTACAAGATCTGAAGGCTTCATTCTCCACCTGGTTTGTGTGTCTTTTCTATCACCCCAAAAGATACTAAGAGTAGGAGGGCTATGCTTTTCACCTCCAAACCACTTGTCAAAGTCCTAGAATAAAGTAAACACTTAAAATTAAACCAGTAGAAACAGAGAGACATATAACATGTCAATCTTAAACTTAAACTCTGAAGTGAACCAATTATGATTATACAAGAACATGTTAGGCACAGATTTCTATAGTAATCTGTAACATTTTAAATCATCCAATGTTCTCATCAACTAATTTGGGTCATCCTTAGTTTATTTGAACTTGTGAATATATCTGACTTTAGTCTGGTATGTTATTTCTGCACCTGGATCTAGCCCACATTCAGTTTTCTCTGGGATGTCTGAATGGTTATGTGGAGATTAAGAAGTTAGTTTTTAACCATTTATTAATTCTGCAAACATTTGGTGTGTGCACTATGGCAAGCATTGGACATGGTACCCATGATAAAACAACAAAACACAGCGTTCCCTCGGGGAGCTTGTGGCCTAAGGGAGCAGGTCAGAAAACAAAATGAGCAATCACAACCAGCACTATAGGTTTCTTCGGGGGAGGAGCAGAGGAGATTCCACAGGGGTAGAGGGAAACGCCCAGGAGCTCGCTCTGGCAGGTCCAGTGTGCCCAGTGGACAAGTGTAGAGGGTCGCCTGAGAAGGCACATGGACATCCTTTAAATTGTCAGCTGAGTCCTAGGCCCTGGCAGGGTACCTTTGTCCAGGTGTCAGCAGGGTT